AACGATAAATAAACGAGTAAACAATGAATTTATTATAAACCCTTTTACTCAGTAAAAAATTCTATTTTATCGAGTTTATCACACTCGAAAATAGTGTTCAATTGAAGGTCTTTTAAGTTTGCTGGCAAAGTAATTAAACTGAGGTTTCTACACATTTTAAAGCATTCATTTCCAATATAGGTCACACAATTTGACATTTCAATCAAATTGAGTTTACTACATCCATAAAAGCACTTCTTTTTAAGTTTTGATACGCCACTGGGAATTCGAATTTCTTCGAGTAATGCACAGTGTTCAAAACAACTCTCTTCAATTGATGTGATGTTCAATGGCAGCCTTATGTCTTTGAGTTTATAACAATTTTGAAAACAAAATCCACACAACACAATGACGCTGTTTGGCAACTCTATTTCCCTCAAGTTCGAGCAATTTGAAAAACAGCACTCCCCAAGTTCAGAAACACTTTCAGGGATTTTGATGTTATCGAGTGTAACATGCCCATAAAACGCGTCTTCTCCAACAGTTGCAATTCCAAGTGGAACAACATCGCCATATTTCAAGCGGTCACCCTCCCCATAGACAATGTTCTTGAAAACAAAATTCGAAGACTTCTTTATAACGGACGTTTTGTAATCGACTTCGTACCAAATCACCACGCGGAAGAAATTCACTTTGGAAATATTGGGGGTCACAAGAGAGTCGTCCCAAACTTTGTTCATAAAAGCTTCTTCGTCTTTTGACCATATGTTGAGAGTTTCGATTCGTGGAAAATACTTCAGTGTTTTTGGTGTAAGAGGAATCGGGTTGAAATGAAACTTTGTGATGTTTCCCATGAACTTTCGACAAACAGTCTCAAGTGTAAAAAAGTCGTGTATTTGATCAAAGTACTTGGACACAATCATAATATGAAACCCATCAAGACGTTTTGGCATTGTATTTTTGATGCAATAATAATAATTTAAATTATTGTAAAACTTCAAAAATGAGTGTTTATTTAAATTAAATAAGTTTAAAACTAACAAGAAAACTACTTGATTTAGTAATTTATATTTTTATCATAAACTATAGATTTCAACATTTTCAATAAATGTAAATTTTTATTAAATTTTAATTTATTGTTTGTAATTTCAATAAAAACATATTTTAATTATTTTTTATAAACTGAATAAAATTGTTTTAATCATGAACTGTCAAATAATCATGTTATTTAAATTAAAAAAAATATAAATTTGTAAATTACATTTTAACTTTTTTTTGTTTCCAAAGACATTTAAAATAACAAATTTTTTGCTTTACCAATCGAATTATTTTTCCGTTTCGATTTTAAACAATTATTTTTAATAATATTTTTAAAAAACAATACTCATCTTGAAATTATTAATTAAAGTAAAAACACCAAAAATTATTTTAAAACAATGAAAGTAAGGTCGTCGATTGTCACACTATTATGTTCAAATATATAATCTACACATAATTTTTGACTTGTGGGTCTTTGTCATTTATGTACACGTTTACGCGACCGAGTTTAATAAAGATTAAAAATTTATTAAATTAAATGTATTGTCCGATAAAGATAGTGTAGTGCTGCAAAAGGTATTGTCGCGGAACACATTTTATTCTTTGTGATGTGTGTAGGGGAAAGGTGCGCGTCAACGAAATGGTTTTACGAGCACCTTTAAAGACGACTTAAAAATGGGTTAATTCACAAAGTACTTTCGTATCTCAAAAAATGAAAAAAAGAATTAATTCAAAAATCTTAGTTATTTTTGTTGTAATGTCTTATTGTTATTTTACTAAGATCGTTGCAAAAAAATGTTGTCAGGAATGAAAACGGTTGTTTCATTTTTTTTCAAAAATAAAAAATGTAAAATTAAAAAAAATACAACAAAAAATTTTTATAAAACAAAAAATAAATAGAACGTGAACCTGTTAAATGTACATAAAATAACAGACAAAATATAAATTTTTATTAAATAATAAAACTGTGATAATTAATATACAGTATAATCCGGGTTTAATTCACTTAAAATATTTTGGAATTATCGGGTTTAATTCCACTTTTTTCAAGAAAATTTTTTTTAAATGATTTTTAAAATAAAAATAATTGATGGAATTAACTTTCGGTAGTTTCATAGTTATAATTATTTAATAATTATTTGATTCAATCAAAAACAAATGGTATTGGTAAAGGCTTTTTCATCGTCTCTAAAAATAAAGTTTTTTTTAACTATTTAATACAATATTTTAATTAAAATTATAGTAAATGGGAGCTTGGGATAATATTTGGTCTGGTTCTCGAATTAAAAATGTGTCGATAATTCACTCCGAAACAGTGAAAACCGAGAGACGATAATCAAAAAGAAGGCACAGGCGGCCTGTTTGTGCACCCGTTCCACATACTCTCAATGTCCTCTTTGGCACAGATCCCAATGAACGCCCCGTTTGAAAAGGGAACCACATCAGCGTCCAAACAGTACGGAGGAGGAAAGTGGGTGACATGGGGACCCACAAACAGTGACTTAAAGATGGACTTCTTTCAAAAAACACTCGCGGCAAATACTTTGTTAATGTGGTGTTGAAACAAGTGTGTTTAAATAAATGAAAACGAATAAAAACTAGAGTTTATTATGTTGGTTTTATTTATTCATTATTTTATAATAAGTAATTTATAATATCATAGTACCGAAAAATAGTTCCAGAAACAAAAATAATGCATTTTTATTCAAAAACAAATATTCTGATTAATTTAGGTAAAAACCCAAATATTTTACATAAATTTAAACAAAAAAACAAGACTATGATAATAAAACTCAAA